TGAACCTTGAACTTACACAATGCTATGTTTTAATTATATCTCAATAAAGCTTGAAAAAAGGGATTATAATTGCAAAATTCCTCCTGCCATTTATCCTGCAGTTTAGTTTAGACACAACTATATATAGGCAAATAAAAGATATGTCAGTCATTATAAAAAAATAATAATACATTTTTTGTTTTTTCCTTTTTTCCTATGTCAGGAAATTAGGAAGTATTGATTTGTTTTTCCATCATTTAAAAATGTCCTGCCTGATTTTCGTACCTCCTCCCACCCCCACTTAGCTGCTGTGTGGGTGTGAGGCGGTCACCAGAGAGTTTTGCTGGAGGTGGGGGCTAGCTACTGTGGGGTGCTGGCTGCAGGGTCACGACAGCGCTTACGCACAGACTCGGTCCTTAGTGGTCATTTCTTCTGAAACATGCTGTGTGGATGCAGGAGAAGGTGTGGGTGTCAGGATGGAGGCGAGCTTGAAATGGAAACATCCAGACTGGAAGCAGCTGGTGTGGCCTGCTGGCTCTCTCTTTAGGAAGGTTGCAAGCCCTGCGGAGGGGCGTGGAGGCCAGGCCAGGGAGTGTGAGCAGGTGCAGGCCCAGGAGCGGGCCCAGGTGCGGGCCCAGGTGCGGGCCCAGGCTGGTTTGTGGGAGCTCCAGGTCATGGTCCTCCACTAAGCAAGCATGAGCTAGTTCTAGGAAAACTGAACCAAAGACACCTGTCTTACTCGTACGTACATACATATACACACATGTACACACGTATACCTACATGTGATGCTTCGCACATGTGTTATGAATGTGCTGCCATGACGTGTTCTTTTCGGAGAAGGCCAGGACACGTGAGCACTCTGTGACCGTGCGCATTCTGGCACGAGGCTTTGGCTGCACAGGACAGCATCTTGGAGGGAGGGACTCCTAAGTGCCAGAAATGCTGGGCACAGCAAGGGAACTGGGGGAGAAGCTTCAACATGACAAACAAAGGCGTGCTTCCCTATTTTCCTCGAAGTATTAAGCACATGATAATGACCAACTCACACAGAACAACAGGAAGAGGAGGAACACGCTGTGGACATCTTCGGCAGTGACCGGTGACTGTCTCAGCACCGTCCACTCAGCTGCAGATTGCTGCTGAATTGTCATTAAAAAATTCATTAAGATGAGTGTGTTTGGGTTTATGAAGTGGATATGGGAACAGAGCCTGCCCTGGACTGAGGGCTGGAGACCCGGGTCCAGGTCACACCTGACAGCCCAGCTTTTTGTCCCCCTGGGCCTCAATATAGTCATTCATAATAGGAGACTAATAATTACTATTTGTTTATTTGCAATAATGCTTCTAGAATAATCAAAACATCAAATAGAATATATTTTAAGCCCCTCAAGGGAGGAAAAGCTAAGGAATGATTAACCCATGAAAACAAAACTAATAAATATCGGGGCCTACTCTCCTCTCTGAAGCAGCAGAGCACTTAGCCATTTTTTTTTAATTTTTGGAACATTTCAAAGAGGAATCAGTATTTCCCCACAGGCCACAGGCCACAGGCTGCTGCAGACCCAACATCCCTCTTCAGGACAGTATGTTCAGTGTCCCATTGACGGGAGCACAGGGGGTGTGTGGGGTACGAGGCAGGGACAGAGAGGCGCCTGAATTCCCTCGGGGAAGGTCTCGCTGCAGCCCACTGCCCTGTGCATCTGAGTCCAGGACCCCGGGCGTCTGTGAGCTTGTGTAAAGAGAGAGGACAATGAGGAGCCCTCGGCGTTCTATTTCTGAACATTTTTTTCTGAATAAAACTGAAAACATGAGACAAGACATGAATTTCTAAAATCATCCGCTACTATAGAACATGACATTCAAAGGTGCCCAATGCCACCAAAACGTGAAGTCTCGTGTTCAGGGGACTATAGAAATGCTCCCTTAACTTTAGTTCCCATGCTGTGGGAACGCATTCTGAAACACACACACACACACCTTACTGCAAACTTTATTCCAGTACAGGAATGAGCAGGAGCATATTAGAAAACAGGGAATTTCATCTAGCCTCTTAGTGTCTGCTGCTAAAACCCTCCTGCACACACAGGGAGGCACGAGAATAAATAATTCCTGAGCATTAAATTAGGTTTTAAATTATTGGGAGAGACCACGAAGGGAAACCAAACCTAAGAATGCCCACAAGTCAGCTCTCCAAACAACTTCTGAGACAGAGCGGGAGACAACAGCGACAATGCCACCTGTATGAGCTAAGTTACCTTTGGTCACTGAAAATTACATCAAATCACAATTTCATGACAAAAATAAGCAGCCACAGTGGTAGACTTCGCGAATGCCTCAGGTGCACGGCTTCTGAAGACGTTCTAGAGAAATCCATGTGCTTCCAGTTCTGCCCAGTGCTTTCTTACCTAAAAACTGATTGCTTTTCTGAACCCAGACCCAAGTCTCCAATATAGAAGGATGTTTCTTTTTATCAGACTTTTAAACTACCCACTCATTCAGTGATCTCACTCTAGGGCAGGCTGCCCAGGAGCCCACCGAGGCCAGGCTGGCGCTCAGGGTGACCTCTGATCTGAGGCCCTGTGCACGGAAGGGAGACGGGGCAGGCGGATGGAGAGGTAGGGCAGGGAGAGAGGAAGAGGAGCAGGCAAAACTCAGGTAGAACTAGTTTCAAAACTCCATATTTTACGAATTCTGAGAGAGGTGTGTTGACCTCTCGTCTCACTAGTTGCCTGACCTCTTGGCCATTTTGCTTCCTATGTGGCCACTCCTTTCTCTTAAGCAAAAAAAAGGAAATTCCTGAGCATGCTCAGAACAGCACGTCACATGCCTTTACTCCCATTAACCTTAAAATGTGTTTGTGAATTGCAAAAGAAAGTGCAATTAGCATGAACTATGATGGGAATTTCTAAACCCAGTCCAATTCAAATGCGGACAAAATCACTAGTTCTATAAACGAGGTGCACGCGGACATGTGGTTTTAATTGCATCATTATACTGGATTCCCGAGCCCCACGTCCCAAGGCAAGTAAAGTAATTACAATGGAGATGTGCACACAAGGCACTTCTACCCTGTACACCTTAAGAAGCACCGTGTGGAGTTTGGAATAGTGGACTGACTAGTCACCCCACTTTAGAAAACAGGTGTTACTTCTCAGAACACACTGTGACATGGGTGGGCATGAAATTCTAGATCCCAAAATGTTCTCATCTCCTGTGGTATCTTACTTCAGGGTTAGTTTATCATTTAGTGCTCTATGCACTAAACAAAACAGGGAGCTGAGAGGCAACACAAACACTACGTTTTATTGTTTTATTGCATGATGGCGATTGTAGTTGAAATGTTATAAGGGTCCTTTCTGTACAGTAAGTTGTTAAATTAATGTTTACTTTAAAGTTGGAAACAAAAGTAATGTTGTTCATCCACCCACCAATGTAGCCCTATTTGTCCCCGGTTCTCCATTCCCAGAGCAAGTGAACCAAGAGCCCGTGTGCACAGGAGGCAAGTCTTCCACCCTCTGCGGACTCTGGCTTCACGGACATTTCTAAGCAGAGACGCACCAGGACACCAACCCCATCGACACGCCACCTACCCGCCCACATTCTGGATGGTCCCATCCCAGTTTTTGCCCTTGAACACCACACAAACTGACAAATATATTTAAATAACTGTGTGGGTGTTCTAGAACATTACACCTGTGCATGGTCGAAGTACAGTCAGAGTTCTTAGACACTTTGTTGCTAGATTGCTTCTGGAAAACTAGACACAAAATCCCACCCCCAGAATTCTGTTAGAGACCTTGTAACTAGCGGGTCACACACTTTCAATGACACTGGCCAAATACAGTGAGGAAACTGGAAAGCAGACAAATGATATAAATAGCAACAGGAAGAGGCAGAACACTTCATTATTGGGTCACACTGGATTAATGTTACTTTATTTAGGTTCTCTCACTGAAACCACCCACTCTCTTAACTCCCATCACAGTGGCCCCCATCTCCTGGCAGAGAGGCACCTGACACCCTGCACCCCAAACTGCCTTGGACCAGAGTGTGAAAGGACACTAACAAACAGTCCTTAATCAAAGATCACTGCAGTCAGACAGCCAGAGAAAACTCCAGAAAAGCTGGACATATGTTTACAACAACAGAACTCTACCTATGTAAGCAGGCCCCAGCATCGAGACCAGCATGTAGTAAACTGTGAATAAATATTTGTCAAAATAATTGTCCAAGTATTTCTCACTGACACTATGCAGGGTGTGATAACACTATAATAGGCTTGTTTCTGGAGCTGCAAAAACGCCCCACCCTGAGCAGCCCCCTTCAAAGTGACCCTCCGAAGGCTGACAGCATCCGGACACCACCGTTCCTCAGCCCCTGTGAGACCTTGGAGCACAGGCTTCTGAACAGTTACTGAATGATGCACTCACTGTATCTTTAATAAATAGTTTCTTTTGTACATTTACTGCTTTATAATCATGCCTCTTCATTTAAAAAGCTAAACTAAAATGACATGATTACATGCCTTAGCCAGTGAATTTTGCTATGAATGACATTAAGCTACTAATTAAAATAAAATTTACCACCTAGAATGAAGGTTTCCTATGCTAGGATTATTCAAATGGGTTCCCATAAGCAATTCCAGAACTCCAAATGCAGTTCGGGCGATGCACCCTTGTGGGAATGAGGTTACAGCCCCCACATGGACACCAAACCCAGAATTCTTGGTGTCTGGCAGTCACCTCCAGCAGCTGCCCTACCACATTTCATGTGAGACCCAACAGGCAACTTTTAAGTCGTTTTCCATTTTAGTACCAGATTGCTTTAGTATAAATCTGGCCGATGTACATTTTCATTTCTTTGAAACAAAGAGTCAGAAACATCTATCTTTAATTGTTCTAAAAAGAACATAAGAAAACTCACTTTTCATGTAACATTGACTTTAACATGTTTAACCTAGAAGGCGTGGCTCCAGGGACATGCCATCGGCACACGCTGCAGCAAGGACCGGTACTCACGCCATGATGCCCGAGAGGTGGAACATCTCTGCGGTGATGTAGGACAGGTAACTGTACAGGAAGACAAACAGCGGCTCGATCACCCGAATGTTATGTGTGAACCGAGTAGTAAATGCTGCTATAAATCCCAGGAAGATGCCAATCAACACGCCGCCGATGCCCACGACAAAGAAGTTGGCGATCCCAGCAAACACGTCAATGGTCTCGATGGTTTTCATCTGGCAGAAGGACTTGAACAGGTTGTACAAGACCTGTGGGAGAAAGGAGCGCGCTGTCAAGGCCCGTCCAGCCTCCCACCATCCCCGAGGCCACCGCCCCCCTGGCCTCTCAGCAGGACGCTTCTGTGCACCACGGTGGGTGGTCAAGGGCAATAACTATGCATGTATTTATCTTAATATTATATTTTATAACTTTAAATAAAAGACTTTGATAACAAAGTGTTGTCAGGAAAACCTTTTTTAAAAATAACTGAGAGGAGACTTCAAAATTATTGCACAACTTACTCCTAAAAACATCACTTTTTAGATACCATCTAGAAGATTCTTTTGAATAACTTGGTTGCCAGCCAACACACCCTATTTTTTTTTTCTTTATTGACTTCAGAGAGAGAAGAAGGGAGAAGGAGATAGAAACATCGATGCGCTGCCTCCTGCATGCCCCCCACTGGGGATCGGGCCCACAACCTGGGCCTGTGCCCTGACTGGGAATCGAACCAGCGACCTCTTGGTGCAGGGTTGACACTCAACCACCGAGCCACACCAGCTGGCCATACCCTACTTGTATTACTGATGCCTGTCAGTGTTGCTGTGAATCTGGTCACTTTTCAAGGCCCTATTGGAGGTAACAGCACGGAAGGACCTGCCCGTCAGTGTCCTGGGGACACCCTCTGCCCAGGCCACTGAGGTCCCCACTCCTCGCCCCTCCTCTCTCCCTGTCCACACACACGTTTGGTCTAACGTGAGACCCACAGGGATTTCCTCAGAGGCAGCAACCTGTGTTGTGTGTGTGTATGTGTGTGTGCGTGTGTGTGTGCCATGACCTCCTACATAGTTTTTACCTCTACAGTGATAAGACTACACTGTTGCTTAGTATCTGAAAAATCTACAGTCTTTACATAGTCTTAGTCGAACTATAGCTTCAGAAATGCTCGGCTGTCACGTCCGCTGGGCACCGCGCTTTCGATCGTGTCTGAGGGCCACCAGGCCACCTGAGGCTGGAAGTCTCGGCTTCCCTACCACTGTTCCCACCAGCCAGCAATAAACACAGCCGAGCAGGTGCCCTGCTCCTTTTTCCTGATATTTACAGCTGGAACCGCCAGGAACACCGGCTGACAGGACCCCGGGGCCCGGGGCCTCAGAGTGGAGGCCGTGTGCGCCCTACTGGGTTGTGAGAAACTCAAAACGGACCGCCTTCGTCCAGTCACACCAAATGTCCGAGGCGATGCGGAACCCAGGCCGCCCCTGACCCCTGGGTCAGTCTTCCGAGGGTTACCCATGGACAGGGAGCCAGTCTCCCGGGGGCCCAGTGTGTCCTGGGGAGACCTCCCCCTTGGCCCTCCACGGATAGCCTCCCAGACGCGAGGAGAGCCCTGCAGGTCTGTGCGGCGGTCACTCCTGCTGGAGCATGACCCTGCAGGCGGTCACACCTTCCGTGGTTCACTTCCTCCATGCGGACGACCACACGTGTCCTGGTGTGAGGGTGACGCGCTGGATCACTACCTGGAAACGGCCTCGCCTTCCCCCACGGGCTGGCATGGCCCAAAGAGCACTGGCACAGCTTGAAGCGGCGGAAAAGCAGCTCACTGGCCCCAGGACTTAAATATCCTGCAGGGATCACCATCTGCCAGGAAATACACTGGCTTCAAGAAGCAGCCGCTTCCTGCTCCCCCCAGAGGCTTCTGCGCACGTCGGGTTTCAGCAGCAGCAACAAGCCCCAACTGCCTCCTGGCAGAGCTCAGGGATGCACTGTTTATACCTTCCCTGCAAGGGCCAGCCCAGAGCTGCGGGTCACCTGCTGCCTGAGGGCACACACTCCCCGTAGCCCTGCCCCCCCCCCCACCCCCACCTGCGCCAGCACCCAGCTCTCCGCTGGGATGCCCCTCTGGCTACCCGAGGACTCCCTTCCTTTGAATCCTGCTCTTCCGTTAAAGCCTTTGTCTGCCTGGCTTCGGGAAGGCTCGACGCTCCTGGCACACTGGGTTTTAAAATGGCTTTCCAGTGCCCCTCCGTCTGGGAGAGGGTCTCTTCACTGCTCACGAAACACACCACTCTTCCTCATTTCGGGTTTTCTTCCTGCGGTTTTTCCTGGTAGAAACCCAGCTCCTAAATCTAGGAAAACTGTGTCTGCCTTGTCTGGCCCAGCTGCTCTGCCTCCTGGGAGCCTGCCAGGCCGCCCCCACCCCACACCCCTTCCCACTGCCCGCCTGAGGCACGGTGCCCTCCTAACCCACTGTGCTGCTGGTGCCTCAGCTGCCCGCTTCCTCCTGAGTGCCCACCGCCCTGCCCCCACAGAACGACACGCCTGTGCGCACCCACACCTCCTCCTCTCTCTCCTCTCCCCACCGCGCCCCACCCAGCCCACTGGTGGGGCCTCCAAGAGAAGCTTCAGGACGCATTTCTAAGGAGTGACTGGCGGACAGTCACACTCTTTCCAGAGCGGCTCCGGCCACCAGGTCAGTCAAAGGTCTGTCCTGCTGCTCCTGTTCCTGCAGGGTCCACAACGGGCAGCACTGGGCACAGGCTCATCACCCCGACAGGCGCAGCCGCTCCAGCCTGCACCCTCCGCCTCCGCTGCCAGGGCCAGGCTCAGGGAACACTGAGGCAGCGGCGTTACCCTGACGACCAGGAAGCTTTCCATTACCTCCCACCTGCTCTGCACTGAACTTGATACCTGCTGATCAGAACAAGATAACATTCTTCCAGTTACCACTGGCCATACATAACCCAGGTACTTCATTCCAGTTAAATCCTTTAATTTTACCACCAGGGAATCGATAGCAAAAGTGCTTTTGGAGTTATAATTTATATCTGTCAGTGTACATGCTATTATGTACGTGAGCTACAATGATGTCTGTGGTTGGTCTGTGCAGAGCTGACCTCCACTGACAAGTGTATTTTTAGAAAATGAAATGCCAGCGAGGCTGTTTGCTAAGTTCTGTGCTGGGCTAATGTGACAGCTGCGTACCTCCAAACCTTTCCACTCATGATTATGTTTTTAAAACACTTTTATATACTAAAATGGCAAATTACCTGTTTTTATTTTAGACTGAAGATGTTCAGTAATCCAGTGAAACCGTAACACGGAGAGGCAAACGATTCAGAGCCCTTTGTCGGAATATTTTTATTCCAGGAAAATAGCTTTTAGGTCACTTTTTCTGATGTGAAACACAAAGAATCTGTTGGATAATAAATTTTAAATCTGTTCTGTTATGTGCAAAAGGAAAATAAAGTGCCAAGTGTCTGCCCTCCAGCTTCCCGAAGGCGAGTCTCACTGCCCAGCATGGTGAGGCCCGGGGACACGCCAGCCTCTCCGCAGAGCCCAGCTATGAGACTGGAGAAACTAAGTCTCCTTGGAAAACGCATTAGAACATTCAATGGTGCATTTACATGTTCTACAAATGACGCTGGAAACCACCATGGAATACGTCATTTGATTAGGAACTACTGTGGAAATAGGAACACTTCTCAGATAACTGAGAACCTAAACAATCTTTGCCTAATAAGAGAAATGTTAAATGTTTTCCTAAAATAGTCATTATAAGAGAAAGCACAAAAATTCTACCTAAAAAGCTCACTCTTACTTTTTTGACTATCGTTTTCTTGGTTAATGCTCATCTACTATCGCCCTAGACGGTAGTCATATATGATCACTTTCCCTTTGCGTTGAGACATTTTGTGGTAGGTTTGTTACCTTTCAACTCTTCTAGCTCAATATTTAATTTGCCATGACTTGGGGAAGGACTTAATTGTGCTGACCTATGAGTCACTCACCCTCCAGACTACATTTCTAACATACATTCTCCGTTCATCTCAGCTCCTTGGGTGGCAGCTCATGTCGACTCATCGTTTTCACCGTATGCAGCATGGTCCACCAATGTGAAGGAGAATTTTTAAATTTATGTACTTTTACTTATAATCGATTCTCGGAGAGAGGGGCAGGGAGAGGGAGAGGGAGAGACGACCCGGACCGGCAGCCCTTCGCTGCATGAGACTGAGCCAAGCTGGCCAAGGCATGGCCCAGATTTTTTATACCTTTCTCTGTTCCATGGGTTCCCTAAGCCTCTCCTAGAGGTAAGACTAGATGAACGATTGAAAAAAAATAATCCACAAAACATGCCCGCCTCTATACTTGGGGGATATCTGATTAAGAGGCAAAATCATAATTTTTATACCATTTTTCTAATTAAATCCACTATTCAGCCAGTTCAGTGAAAGGAATATCTGGTGGTTTATTCTTCAGCATTAGGTAGGCAAACCACTGGGCATGCCCTCTGACCTTGCAGGTGTGGATTTAAGGGTCAGCCCAGGGTATGGAACCCACCAAAGAAGGCTCTTTCTTGTGAAACCATAACAGTCCTTCCGACTTCCAGGCATTAGCCCTGCACCACGGGCTTCCACACCTGAAGAGCGGCGCTCCCTTGCTCCGCCCTGCCCTCCTTCCTGCCCTGAACGAAAGGCCTCTTCCTGGCCCTGGCTCTCGGGGGGGCAGCCCCTCCTCTGTCCATAGAACCACAGTTGACGGCTGTGTGCCCGTTGCTAGGAGCACAGGGTGGGCCTCTGGAGGGCTGGGGCCTCCGCACACTGTACAGCAGTGCAGCCAGACAGTTCCTGAGACCTGTCTTGACAAGCCCAGAGAAGGGACCCCCGAGGCCTGTGAATGAGAAACCTCAGAAGAGAGGACAGCGAGGTGAACGCGCGGCTTAGCAGCCTGAACTGCCCGGGCCTTGCCGACTGCTCTCGCAGGAAGCGCAAGGTGCGATGGTTTCTTTGTAAAGCTTCCTTTACAAAGAGATCCAAGAATTCACGTTGAACTTTGCACATTCTCCCACAACAAGGTGAGACGTGTAGGACCACACGTAACTCGCAGTGTGAGACTTGATGCCTTCGGGAACCAGAACGAGGTGTAGAAGGTCTTCATTGTCATGGCAGTGTCCCGGGTAGAATTTAAGATTGGTGAGTCAGCGACTAATGAATTATTATTATTGTTAATGAATAATGGAATAAACGAGGTAGATTTTGTTACTTGAGTTAACTTGGCTGTCTTAAAACTGTCTTAGCAGCTATTCTAAAAAAATTGGGTTTCCCTATCAATCAATTATTTTCTATAAAATGATATCCTCTTGGAGTTAATAGGCATTCTTCAAGATGATATTTTATTCAGGTGAGGGATCTCAAAGAGGCTAACAGAGGATAACGTGTGTTCCTATGTTAATTTTTCAATGAATCGGGGATACATTTTAATAACAAGAATTAATGGAGGGAGTGATATAAGTTACTTAAATACACTTTAGTTAATAAGCTTTATCTCAATTTACTATTTGCAAAATGTGGAGAATAGCTGTTTCCTAGGTTGTCAGAGGACCCGCGCACCCGGTCAGCATTCACACAAGGTTCCCGGCCATTATCACTATCTCCGACCGCAGAATCCTGACCACCCTGACACAGCACCGCCGTGCCCGCTGCTGGCAGCCAGGGCAGGCCACCTGATGAGTCCGGCTGGCGGGCGCGCTCTGTAGGCCCGTGCTCAGAAGGCACGGTGGAGGAGAATCCTGCGAACATTAGGATCTAACCGCCTCTACTTATGTATCAATTAATAAGAATTAAAAATAATTTGCATTTTCTGAATAATTACCCACTTACGGCAAAGTGGTGAAGATCAGAAAAACATTGGTTGGGCATCAATAAGAAGTGAGTCGTGTGATGAAAACTGCCTACAATCATGAAATGAATGAACCATCCCCAGCGAGAGCACTGTCTCTGCCCCTGCCTTACGCGTGCACCGGCAGCCGGGCTCCGCAAGAGAACGCTGGGGCCCCGAGTCCTTTCGGCTCCGATCAAAGACATCACTCCTGAAGATGCTGAAAGGAGAGCTCTCGGGGACACAGAGTCCTCGCCTCTTATGTTCCCCTGGAAAGAGCAGAGCCTCGCGTGCATGACCCAGCACGAAATAAAAATGAGGGACCCACTCTATAATAATAAACACTAACCAACAAATAACCATTTACTAAGAATTTCAAGACAGAGACGGCAGAGTGTTCCTGCCAGCGAGGCCCTTCCACGCGCAGGGCCGGGGTGTCAGAAGGCGGCTGCGGTCCCCACCTGCTGGAGCGCGCAGAGCAAACCCGCCACTCACCACTGTCACCGCGTCATTCAGCAGGGACTCCCCAAAGACCAGGATGTAGAGCTGCTCGTTGACGTGGATGTTCTCGAAGACGGCCAGCACAGCCACGGGGTCCACCGCAGAGATTAAGCTGCCAAAGAGCAAATTCTGGAGCAACGTGATGTCACTCAGGCCAAAGGCTTCAATCTGGCAGATACCAAACAAGGACACCCCAATGCCGATGGAATTCCAGAGTGTCCCGACCACCGCGTACCAGAAAATGGTGCCAATGTTCTCGAAGAACGGGCGGGTGGGCATGAAGTAGCCGGCGTCGAGCACAATGGGGGGCAGGAGGTACAGGAAGAACACGTCTGTCTTCATCGCAGGCGGGGACTTCTCTTCAACTCCAAAAATAATGCCCCCTAGCAGGAGTCCAACCATGATGAGAAGGCAGCTCTCAGGCACGATCGTGGGCAACTTGTGATAGAGATGGAAGCCTGTCTCAAAGAAAATAAAGACACAAAATGTGGTTTAGGCAGAAGTTAGGGAGAAGACACATTGGTTCTCTTCGACAGAACCAATGGTCCTGTTTCAAAAATCTTCCAGGTCGGTAATCGGCTAAAGTCCGGCTTTACAGATCACAATGTAAAGTCTGATGATCCCCTTATGCACAAGGTACATTCAGGTACAAATTTAAGTTTCAATCAGAAGTAGATTACTGTAGGTCCACAATATACAGTACCATTTCTGCCTAAGCTCCAACTGTTTTCTTAAACAGGGAACTTTTATATTTGAAGCAACATAGTGATTCCCAACAAGTTTTCTGGTGCAACAGCTCATGTCATCCTCATAAAAACCCTAAGGGGTAGACATGGCTGATCCTGTCAACCTTTTTTTTTTTAAGTCTTTGCCCGAGGATATTTTTCTATTTATCTTCAGATAGAGTGGGAGGGAGGAAGAGGGAAAGAAGGAGGGCAAGGGAGAGAGAGAAACGTCGATGTGAGAGGGACATGACTGGCTGCCTCCCGCATGACCCCACCAGGGCTGGGGAACCACATCCAAGGTACGTGCCCTTGGCCAGAATCAAACCCGTGGTTCACTGATCCGTGGGCCAACGCTCTACCGCTGAGCCAAACTGGCCAGGGCAACCCTTTTTTATTTAAGGGGAATGGAGGGAAAAGAGATACAGGGTCTTGCCAAAGTTTCTAGATCACATGCCAGTTTTCAGATGACTACTGTCACCTCTGGTCTTGAGAAGAGTTTGTAACTTATTTAATATGCTTAACTCCAATTCTTTCATTTGGAGTGTTGACTATATTCAATCTGTCTGATGGCTGCTCCTTCAGAGAAAACCAACTCTGTCCATCAAAGGACATGGGCAACTACTATAGGAGGGGTGTGAACTCGCCATGACCTCCAACTTCAGTGTCCCAACCAAGGCAAAGAAGGAGGTGTGTGGAGGACTTTCTCTCACACCAGGTAATAAAGCCCCAGTGGAGTGCTGCGGGAACAGAGCAGGGGCAGTCTGCTGAGAACACACAGGGAGGCAGCATCTGGCGGGCTTCATTGTGGCAGAGATGGACGCTGAACTCCAGAGAAGGCCAGAAGGGTCTCCCAGGGAGAGAGGAAATGAGGAAAGTACCCATCTCCTGATCCGTGCTGGGGCTCAGTGTGGTTTAATGCAGAGACCATGCTGGGGAGAGGCCTGGAGCAGGAAGAGCGGGGCAGATACGGCTGTCCTGCACGTGGGCCACATGGGAGGCCACAGGCACCCTGGCAGGGCACAGCGAGGCAGCTCCTGCTCCCAGGACACAGCGAGGCCTCCTGAAGGCGCCACACATTTACAGGTAAAGCAACAGATGGAAACTATCTGAGTTCTAGGGAGATAATATGAAAATAACGGAGTAAGTCCTTAAAAACTTAGTCACAGAGTTGTAAAAGTAAGTTCTTGGAAGCCTACAAACTGTATTCTAAGTCATAGCATGAAATAGTTGGTAAACCAGAAAAATCACCATAATTTAAAGAGATTTAAAGAACTAACTTCTAAATAATTAAATAAAAACTTATTTGGTTATTCAAATAATCACTCCAGTTTTGATTATTGTATTATTCATATTCTAGCAGACTTCAGCAATTGTTGGGGAATATGTATTCAACTGGTCCATCTGTTCTTTTTCCATGACCTCTGGCCTGTTGACCGTTGTTAAACGCAGAAGTTAGAGAAGTCAAGAGCTTACAATGGAATGAAGACAGCCTGTTTAATAAATGGTGTTGGGAAAATTGGACAGCTACATGCCAAAAAAATGAAGCTAGATCACCAACTTACACCATACATAAGAATAAACTCAAAATAGATAAAAGACTTAAGTGTGACTCATGAATCCATAAAAATCCTAGAAGAAAATGTAGGCAACAAAATCTCAGACATCATACACAGCAGAATTTTCACTGATACATCACCTAAGGCAACAGAAACAAAGGAGAAAATGAACACATGGGACTACATCAAACTCAAAAGCGTCTGCACAGCAAAAGAAACAACCATCAAAATGGAAAGGGAACCCACTCTATGGGAGAGCATAATTGCCAATGATACATCAGATAAGGGGTTAATTTCCAAAATATATAGAGTGCTCATACAACTCAACAAAAGAAAGACAAATAACCCAATTAAAAAGTGGGCAGAGGACCTAAATAGACACCTCTCCAAACAGGACATACAAATGGCCAAGAGACATATGAAAAAATGCTCCACATCACTAATCATCAGAGAGATGCAAATTAAAACAACAATGAGGTATAACTTCACACCTGCCAGAATGGCCGTCATCAACAAATCATCACACAAGTGTTGGCAAGGGTGTGGAGAAAAGGGGACTCTAGTACACTGCTGGTGGGAATGCAGACTGGTGTAGCCACTATGGAAAACAATATGGTGTTTCCAAATTAAAAATTGAACTTCCATTTGACCCAGTGATCCCACTTCTAGAAGCCTGAAACACCAATCAAAAAGAGAACATATGTACCCCAATGTTCACAGCAGCACTGCTTACAATCGCTAAGATCTGGAAACTGCCCCAGTGTCCATCAATAGATGAGTGCATACAAAAACTGTGGTACATGTACACAATGGAAACTATGCAGCTGTAAGAAAGAGAGATCTCTTATCCTTTGAGACAACATGAAAGGACCTGGAGAATATTATCCTAAGTAAAATAAACAAGCAGAGAAAGACAAATATCACATGATCTCACTTATTTGTGGAATATAATGAACAAAACAAGCTAATGAACAAAACAGTCCCAGAGACATAGAAAGGAATATGGTTCAGACTGACAAACCTGGGGTCGGGTTGGGGGAGAGGGAAGCGATAGACCACAGAACTTATATGCATGTGTGCATAACCGATGGGCAGAGACAACAACGCTGCGGGGGAGGGAGAAGGGGTATCGGAAGGAGGATGTCTAGGGGAAAAAAGGAGAAACATCTGTAACAGATATTAATATAATTAATAAAAGAGTAATAATAAAAAGAAAGAAGTCCACCGAAGACCACATCTTGGTAACCTCATCTGACTAAAGCGACTTTCCCTGCATAATAAAGATGTGCCGGGAACAGCCCCCAGCCTCCTAGGTCCATGTACTGTCAGCTGCTTTCTGGAGTGGAGACCTGAAGGCCAATCCTATGTGCTGGGGCCTTTCCAGCTGCCACCGGACAACTGCTCCTAGCTTCCGGCCCAGCTCCCCCACTCTCTGCTTGTGGCTCTGGGTAACATACTAACAGACTGAGGCCGTTTGCTCATCTGTAAAATGGGGACAAAAGCACCCACCACATCAAAACTGCAACAATAACTATGTTCTGAGCAGCATAACACTAAACACTGTGCCTGCAAAGTCACAAATTCCCCCCAAAACCGGCTGTCTTCCCCTCTGGTACATGACAGTCAAGAGAAAACAGCTGTAAAGAAGTGCACAGAAGCCAGGCTTCCTGGGACGTGGGGGAGGCGGTTCTTAGACAGGTCCTGCTTTCTCTTCCTGCCGGTCCCCTGCCCCTGCCAGGCAGCCTCAGGAACCCCGTGCCCTCATGTGGGCGTGCCCTCTAGCCCTGAGTGAAAGGCGGTCCTGATTCCTGAGGGTGGAGGGTGGGATCCAGGGTGGTAGAAAAAGGAACAGAGATGGCTTTATTGCATCATATAGGTCAACACCTGCCACGCTCAGGTGTAGCCTTGATCCCGACAGGAGCCCAGGTGAGCAGGACATGACCTGGGAGAAGCAGATGAAATGCAGCCACATAAATGCAGGACACAACCAGACAAGGGCCGCTAGAAAGAGGCTGGAGGAGGCGTGGAGGAAGTGAAAAGAGAAAAGCAGGTACTAGCAATTAGCAGGAAAAAACAGCAGAAAATAACATTTATTTAAGAAATCATGTGTTTATATTTTTAAACTGCTGCTCTCTCTTTTAGGAATGCTTAGACCGCTCACACTGGTCTGAGCGACCCTGGCCTGAACTTGGACGGCGCTGCGTGGCCCGTTGCTCCACAGGCAGGAAGGGGCTGAGTGAAGGCGGTCACGGAGACCTTAGCTCCGTGCTTCTCTGGGACGTAGCAGAGGCACTGAAACTCATAACACTCTGCTGGCATGGCGAGTTGTCTGCGTGATGTCTATTTTGTATGAGTGACAAGCATCACACTCGTCAGCAAGATAATTATTCAAAACAAAGCAAAAAAAAAAATCTTAAATTTACTTGTTCACAGAATAAAAGAAATAAGTCAACAATTACAGATGGGTATGCATTTATGGCCCTCTCTCTCCCCACCAAGTATTTCTTGAAAAGGGAATGAACTTGAATAGACAGAATTTGCTTCCCCCAGGTCATTATCCCAACTAATATTACTGAGAAATATAGCAGTTATGGGGAAAAAAATCAAATAAAGTTTTTGATGATTTTTTTTTTTTAATTCTCACCTGAGGAAATTTTTTCCATTTATCTTTAGACAGAGTGGGAGGGAGAGAGAGAGAGAAAGAAAGGGAGCGAGACAGAGACAGAGAAACATCAACGCGGGAGAGATGTATCGATTGGTTGCCTCCCACATGACCCCAACCAGGGCCAGGGACCAAACTGAAACCGAGGTATATGCCCTTGACGGTAATTGAACCCGTGACTCTTTGGGCCATGGGCCAATGCTCTAACCACTGAACAAACGGCCAAAGCAAGTTTTTGGTGATTTTTACAGGCACTTTCTATGGTTCAGTCCAGGGCCAGCCACGCATTCTCCTGTCAAGGCACAGGCAGTACATGTGTTCACTGCAGGCCATGCTCTACTCTGCTGCTGTACAAAGTAGCCACAGGCAATACCTCAAAGAATGAGCATGGCTGTGCTCTAATGAAATGTTACTTATGGCATGGAACTAGAATGCAATTTTGTGTGTCACAAAACGTTATTCTTCTTTAGAATTAGTTTAATCATTTAAAAAATATTTTAAAAGCCATTCTTGAC